GCCTTTACATGTTATGCAAATACCAAAGGGATGGTTTTGGTGAAAAACCCTAGCAACTTCCTGTTCACTATCAGCTGACTGATCAGCGCCTGTTTCTAGAAATCACACACCTAGACAGAAGGTCTCCACCTTTAAAATCACAGGAATCAGAAAGAAAGGCCGTCCCTTGGCAGAAGGTGGCTTCAGAGATACCGCCCTGATGAACTTCCATGTAAATTGTGGCTGAAACCTTTAGTAAAACGGACAAATAGAGATTGCAGATATGGAAACGTTTTCAGACCGTTAAAAAAAAAATCTCCTCTACTTGCTCTGGAAGCTTTTCTCTGGGAAGAGACCAGATTCTCCTCCATTATATGGTCACAATCACTTTGCTATTGGTTTTATCCATAAGGTCAATTCTGAGTGCACAATGGCCCCTGTTTGCTTTTAGTCTTTTACCATCCTCCCAAACCCAAAAGTCCTTTAGCAAGTTGGGCAAAAGCTTTGTGGTCTTACAACTTGTAGACTGTACTCTGATATGTGTTTTTCCCCCAGGTGTTTTGGGATATTTGAAGGTAAGCCTAATAGCCTCCTCGGCTTGATCAAGATTACGTTTCAAAACTGAAATAAGCTTTTCTAGAAATCCAAGAGTGCTCATGGATGTGACTGACCACAGAAATACCAAGGCTCCCTCAGACACCAAAGCCTTATTTTGGACTAGCATCCTCATTCCTTTGTTCTGCCCCATGTATGGGAATCACACATGAAGTTTCTTGGTGGGAAACTTTCACTGATGCCAACTCTACATCAACGTTGCAGATAGTTATGTTCCAAATGGAAACGTATGCAAGTTTCAGTCGAACTCCATCATAGTCTGCTAGTGCTGCTGTGACACAAATACCACAAGTGGGTGGCTTTATAGAACAGACATTTATTTTCTCACAGTTCTGGAGGCGACCAATCCAAATCAGGGTATCGACCCGGTTGATTCCTTCCTCGTAGGTAGTCCTGGGCGTTCCTTTGTGCCTTGATTTGTAGACAATCCTCACATGGCATCTGTCTCCCACTACCTCCCAGGTGTGTGTGTGTGTGTGTGTGTGTGTGTGTATTTGTGTATCTCGTCTATCCTGCTTTTTTTATATCTCAGAAGTGATTAGATTTAGAGCCCACCCTACTTGGGTATGATCAAATTAACATAACAAAGAAGATCCTATTTCCAAACAGGATTATATCAACAGGTATAGGCATTAGGATACCAACACATATTTCAGGGGGACGGGGCACAATTTAATCCCTAACACACTGGCTGCTTAAAAAATCATAAACGAAGCTCTTTTGCATAACAGATAAAGCATGGTTGCTCCTTTCAGGAAACTGGCCAAAACTCATTTCCTCTTTTTACCAGAAATTGATTTATTTTGAATTTTATACTTTATTTTTAAGATCATATTGTATACTTTCTGACCATTAAGGTTTGTAACAACTCATGCACAAAATTTAGATTTCTGACCTGCTGCTTAGGTAAATTACCCCTCCATCCCATCCTCAGTTTTCTTGTCTGTAAAATGGGATGAATGATATCTGCCCTACCTATGTACAAGGGTGGTGATGAGATTCATGAGAGAAAATGGATTTGAAATGGCCATGATAGCCCAAGGGCTTTCTCCCTGCTGTGTGGAATTAGTTTTAAGTGAAGTTGCCTGCTAGCAGCTAGCATCGACTTCTCCCTTCCCCCAGCAGGGTCTGTGCGTTCTCCCTGTAGTTACTCAATTTGTATGGTGGGTTTCCTGTCGCTGGTGAAATCAGCCGCCTCTGTCACTTCCCGCTCCTCCTGATCTCAGAAGGGTAGAAGCTGACTAGCAGAGCAGTTCCGGCTTGGGGTAAAAATACAGGTCTCTGATGGCTGGATTGAATTTCTTCTCAGCAAAATCCCAGGTAGACAAAAGATTACAAGTTTGCCTATCTGCAACTTGGATCTCTTTCTCATGTTTGAGTGACAGCATTATAACTCTCTCCTTTCCTGCCTGCCCCTCCCCAATACACCACTTCCTCCCATCCAATATGTCCAAGCGGATGAGGCTGGGTGTGTCATGGTTTGCACACATGCTGGGCCACTGGGCAACAGGGGCCCTTTAAACCACACTAGTGGTTTGTGGTCCACAATTAGTCAACATCCCCAGTATCTCAGCACCACAGTGCTTTGTGGACAGATACGTCCCTCCCACTCGTTCCTGTACCGCTCTCTCCCCCTCCTGGTCTAAGTTGCCTTTGCAGCCGATGGACCTTTTTACACAAGGACAGGTAGGCCCCTCATGTTCCCTAAGTTGGAACAGATAAAGCACATTTTAGTTTTTTAGCTATCCGGCTTACATTGTTATTAAAAAAACCCAAAAAATCAGTTGCTGCTGAGTTGATTCCAACTCATGGTGACCCCATGTGTGTCAGAGTAGAACTGTGCTCTATAGGAGTTTTCAAGGGCTGACTTTTCAGCAGTAGATTGCCAGGCCTTTCTTGTGAGGCACCTCTGGATGGACTTGAACCTC